TGTTTAGCGCAAAGACACCGGTCAAACGCGACAATTGTCTTTATCGATTTCGAGAAGGCATACGATCACGTCGACTGGATCTTTCTAGATAAATGTTTAGAAAAAATGAACTTTGGGCCAATTTTTAGGCAATGGGTGCGCATCCTACACAAAAATGTCACCACCTGTGTACAGGTGAATGGATCGGTGGCGCCTCCTTTTGAGCTTCAGCGATCGGTCAGGCAAGGAGACCCCATTGCCCCTTACCTTTTTTTGGTCATCATGGAGGCCCTCTCGGCTAATTTGAGACACAACAAAGATCTAACTTTGAATCAAGATCACCGATATCCCGGAAGAAGCGGTACCCATATGCTCCTTGTTTGCGGACGACCTCATGATCATGGTCGAGGCGAATTCACAAAACATGGAAGAGATTCAGGCCCTCATGGACCGCTTCGGTAGAGTCTTAGACATGACTGTCAATTGGGGGCAGAAAACTGTGGGCTGGTGGCTGCACCGCCAGGGGGGCAGACCACCAGATAATCCTTGCATCACTTGGCTTCCCCGGACGACCCCCTTCGAGTCTTAGGTGCGTCTCTCACAGCCAAAGGGAAACCCGTCACAAGTGATGAGTGGCTGATTGGGCCGGCACAGACCAAACTACTAGGATGGAACCACAAACACACATCAATTTTTGGGCGGGCTCTCGTCATCAATAACGTTGTGCTGGCCACCTTCTGGTATAGAGCCATCCTTTAGCCCCTCAGTAAAGGGGGGCTTAGGACGCTCAAGCAACAGCTGGCGGCCTTCCTATGGAGAGGGGATAGTAGTAATACCCATGCCATCAATCGTGTGGCAAGAGACTCTGTTGTTCAGCCCAAGGCCGGCGGGGGGCTTGGAATAGTGGACCCTTCCACACAATTCCAAGCCTTGAGCGTCCACTAGATTCAACAAGTTATCTTCGAAACCTCCTCCCCCTGGGTTCCCCTGACACTGACACAAATCGCGGTCCTGACCCCGGAAACCCCACCAGAAATCGACCCCCTAATATGGCTCGAGGACAGATACTGGAGACTCCCCAGGAAATACTCGAATGGGGACCCGGTAGAGGAACATTGGATACGTCTCCTGCGCACGTGGAGAAAGTTTCCACTCCCCGACCGCCCCGCCCCGGACAGATGGGAAGAGATAATCAGGCAACCGCTGTTCGGCAACATCTTAATCACAGATTTCCTTGGCCAGGTAAGGAACAACTCAGACTCCCCATGGAAAAATTAGGTGAAACATGGGGCACTCAGGGTGGGGGACCTTTGGGATGAGAAAAACGGAGAATGGAAGAGTGCAGCAAGAATGAAAAGATGTCCGCGCTACTGCCACTCACTCGAGTCCACAATGGAAGAACTCATTGAAAGCTTCCCCATCCAATGGTACACCACACTTAAGACAGACCCGGCGTTGGAAGAAGATGATTGGGTGGGGCTACCTGGCCACAAAACACAAATAGGCCGGGTACACATAGTGGACCAAGCACAAGTCCTAATTGAATGCTATGCTATCACAGAAACAGGGCAGCTGCAAGAAAACAGACAACCTTTCATCTGGAAAGAAAAATCATAAGTCTATCGCATCCGGGTAATCGAAGAAGGGAAAGTTTGGAGAGCGTATCGTCCAATGAGCCCAATCGAGAATCTCCCCCTTGATCCCCAAGAATGACGATGGTCGTGGAACGGCAGGACAGGGAGGGTGGTGGGGGGGGGG